CATTCAAAAGGTACGCGTGGTGTTTTCTCTACGGCGGAAACAGGGATGTCGTTCGTGACAGCGTCGGCCTGCCCCGCGCGGATGGGTCTGGCAGGTCCTGAAGAGGATGGCCAACCACGCGCCGAAACGCTGAGGGCGAACTGGGCCAGGGGTGCCCGAATAGTTGGGCATACTCAGTCCGAGACCAACGGATTATCCCAAGACCAAGCAATGCCGATTATATTGCACTTGTGTTGACATGTAGTCCATTCAGAGTTGACCTGATGTTGTGCTTTTTGTGATGTGACAGGCAAATTGCGCATCAAGCCAGATGGCGCGCCCAAGGTTCGCGTAGTGGACGATGGATCCAGAGGGGGCATCAACTCGGCGTGCCAGCCCGCCGAGAGGTCGTTGCTGGACGGGGCTGACATTTTAGTGGGCGCCCTGCGCTGCTATCATCACGGTCTGCGCGGGCACGCACCGGCGTTGTTTAAGGCAGACGTCGACCCCGTTTGCCGGCGCGTTCCTACCGGGTGCCCCCCCTTTGAAAAAGCGTCGTCCTGGGGGTTCGAGTCAGGGTTCCAGAGGAACCCGGCGTTTGCATTGTCGTTGTCGGCCTTTTCACAGTTGGGCAGCTTGCAGCGCGTATATGCACGACGGGGACATTTGGGTCACTGGCCATATAGCGTTGATGTTCGGCGCCCTGGCTGCTGTCTTTGGGCGGGGCCGAGTTGGCGCTGCCTTGGCGCGCCTCGCCCGCGAGCTTGTAAATATTCCCACCCTCCGATGCGTGGGCGATTTCTTTGGGCCGTGCGCACCCGCAACAAAGGAGCATTCCATGGCGTCGCTGGCCAGACTAGTGCGCCTGCTCCTCGGTCCAGGAGCGGTATCCGACAAGAAGCTGGAATGTGGCAACGAGCTGGAGATTTTGGGCCTGCATGTCCTTTTCTCTCAGCGGGATCAACCTGCCTCCCGTGCCCAAGAAGGTGCGCAAGTGGCTTTTCTTGATCAAGTATGCGCTCGACTGCGGAACGCTACGTGCCGGCCGAGCCAGCAAGTTGGCCGGCGCTCTCAGCCGGGCAGGTCAACATTGTTCCGAGAGGCTAGGGCGTGCGATGTTGCAGCCCCTGTTCGCGCAGCAGACTGCGCGACGTGGCGTCGTTCGCGCCCCGCTCAATTTGGCGCTCTCTTGGTGGGCAGAGGTGCTAGCCCTCGGCGCCCACCAGTCCAAGCCGCGGGCGCAGCTGAAACGGCAAGAGGTGCACTTGTTCGCTGACGCAAGGGGCGGGTCGGGTCCACGGTTCGCCGCCGTGCTGTTCGTCGATGGTCGCGCCTTCTGGTCTGACGCCCCTCCAGACCGAGAGCTGCTGACGGATTTGGCGCCGCGCCGTGGCTCTCAGATTATGGCGTTAGAACTGCTCGCCATAGCGCTGGGTTTAGCTACCTTTAGCGAACTGCTGGCGGACCGCCGAGTGGTGATTTGGTCCGACAATGTGGGCGCTGAGGGGGCAGTGCGGAGCGGTCGCGCTTCTGCTTGGGACCACTCGCGCATCATTCACGCCATGTGGTTCCTCATTGCACGCGCCCGGTGTTCGCCGTGGTTTGCGCGGGTTCTATCAGCGGAAAAAATCGCCGACCTTCCGTCGCGAGAGGAGTGCAAGTTGCTACGTGTTCTTGGGGCGAACTTCGCGACGCCGCGCTTGCGCGCGGCTGAGTTCTTCGCGCCGGAGACGTTCCCGGCCCGCGCTCTGCCGGCGGGAGCGCGCCGTCGCGCGTTGTCGCGTCCCGCGAGCGCCGTTGCGCATCGAAGGCGGCGCGAAGCAATGATGGCGAGTGAGCCGCTGTCCCGTGTCGAGCCCGCGGCGAGCCAGGCCTCGCGCGTGCAATCGAGGGGGCGGCCCGCGCGAGTTGATGCCAAAAGCCGACATTGGAAGCTGCGTCGTCAACCGGCCCCATCGATTGGCTCTTGGTCGGGGCGTCCTATTTGTCAGCGCGCGGTCCCAACGCAGCCAGAGACGGGCGCTCATCCGGACAATAAGCCGCCATGACGTTGTTTCATGAGGTCCGCGGCGTCTTGCCAGAGCTTTCACCCATGGTTACATTGGCGTTGATCGAATTGCTGAGGCGCCAAGACATAACGCAGCTCAGAGATCTGCAGCTCGCGCGCGTCGATTGGTTGGAAACCGCGCCTGCGGCAGAAGGGGAACGAGGCGTCAGCCCTGACGCCCTGCGCGTAGCGCTGACAGCGTTAATTAACGAAGCCAAGAAGCCACCTGCCGTCGCGCGCGGCGCGAAGGACGAACCTCCGCCTGCACCCGACGTGCACCAGCGCGCGCGCCGCAGCCGCAGTCGCCCTGCCAGGCGGCGCGCTGCCAAGTGCGATGAGCTTGCAGCGGCTTGCGGTGCTGTGCGGGACCTTGAGCTGGCCGTCAGCATAGCGCGCCGGTGCACTATCGAGCCGCGCGCGGGCCCCCGCCGTGAAGTCGAGGCCCTGCGGCAGGGGCTTGCCCAGCGCAGCTTCAGCGAATGGTCGAATTCGGCCCGAGTTGCCGCGATTCTGGGCAGCTGCCCGAAAACGTAGCCCAGCGTAGTCAGCGCCTTCCGCTGCCGGGCGACTTTCGCCATGACCGTGCTCGGCTGCGACGCGGGGGAAGCGGCTCCGCCGTCGCCCGAGGGCCTTGCATTGTGGAGCACGCGCTTCCGCTGCAAAGGAACGATTCGACAACTATATTTCGCGCGTCAGATTAGTCTGCATCCTGTTGCGCGTCCCGCCGGACGCGCTGAGCGACCCGGCAGTCGAGCGCGCCGCTCGCGCGGTGCAAGCGCAAAACACTTGGCATGCCAGGCCCAAGATGTTTATTTGAGAGGCGCACCTCAACCATATTACCGAGGCATCTCGAACGCCACCAGTCGGGGCGCGAGCTGCAGATGCTTTTCTTGACGGCGTACATATTCCTGTTGCGATTGCCGTCGGAAGCACTGCCGACGTTCGTCGCTCGGGACTGCGATCCGCCGCGGGCGGTCGAGCCGAAGAGCTCCCTCCTATTGCGTGATGGCTCGTTCTCGCTGACTTTGCTTTGGCGCAAGAATCGCGCCACGCCGCTCGCGATGGCGCGTGCGTGCTGGTGCGCGCGCAGTCCATCAACGTGCCCCGTGCACGCGCTGGGCAAATTCTGCGCCGAAAGCACCTCCCAGCAGCCTTTCGCGGGCTTCCGCCCGGGCGCTGTCCTGTCGGCGTTGAGAGCGGCCCTGCGAGAGCTCGGGGTGCCGCGGCGCGATGCCTATCGCACCCGCGATTTTCGTCGGGGCCACGCCCAGGACATGGCGGTGCGTGGCTCGCGGCTGGCCGACATTCTTCGCGCCGGAGATTGGCGGCCCGCCGCCTTCCTGTCATATTTAGAAAGGGATGCGCTTGAGGGCAGCGCCGTCAGGGAAGCGCGCGGCTGCGCTTCGTCCAGCGGCGAAGACAAGGGCTGAGATGGCTGTGATCCTCAACAGCACCTTCGGCGAGAACAGCGTTGGGTTTTCCTCGCGCGCCGGCGCAGCAAGGGCCTTGGGCGTCGCTGCGCCCGCGCGCTCCCGCGGGGAGCGGCGAGCGACGAGTGCGTCGCTCGCCCCCCGCGCGGGCGCGTGCCTACCCAACGAGCGACGCTCCCCGCGCTCTCCCCCCGACCCTCGGGTTTTCCAGGGTGGCGTCTTTTGTGGGCGAGAACGCAGCGCAGTTTTGTTCGGTGTCACAAAACGCGGACCTGGGAACCATTTCCCACAGCCGCCCCGCCGCTGGCGCCGCGGTTCGCCGCGTTGCCTGGCGGGGCGGCCTGGGTTCGGTTGGGGGGGGTGCGTTTGGGTTGCCTCGCCCTAGGTCTTCATGGAATTCGTGTTCCTCGTCTTGTTCGTGTTCCTTGCCCGCGTCTCCCTGCGGTGGGGAAAGGGTAAATATACCCCCGCGTCGCACGCGCCGCCCCGTGGGCGCTTTTCGGCCGAACGCGTGGCCGGCGCCCTCGGTGCGCGCGTGGTCGGGCCGCTGTAACGGCTTCTGTTTCCCCTCGCCCTTCGCCGCGCCTTTGGTTGGGGCGGGGCGCGTGGTGTCGCTGCACCCGCGCGCTCCCGCGGGGAGCGGCGAGCGACGAGTGCGTCGCTCGCCCCCCGCGCGGGCGCGTGCCTACCCAACGAGCAACGCTCCCCGCGCTCTCCCCCAACCCTCGGGTTTTCCAGGGTGGCTTTTTTTGTGTGCGCGGTGCTTGTTAGACGTTTCGTGGCCGTGCAGGTCCGTTTGTTCCAGGGGTCCCCGAAGCTCCCCATGGTTGCGAAGGCCTCCAAAGTTGCCATCATATTCAACAAGTAATTGAAGCGTCCAAAAACATCGATCCTTCTGCTCGACCCTTCTTGTGGAAGGGACGTCTCGCCGACTCTTACGCTGCCGACATCCGCGGTGAGTAGCTGCAATAAGTGGCTCGAAATGTTGAGGGACAGTGTCGGACAGAAGTGGTAACTGGTGCCCTTTTTATGAAGTCGATGGCCGAGCTGCCGTCGCCACTGCAGATGCTTCACCTTCCAGTCCCGCGATGCGTTCTCAGGCAACCACGATGGAGGGTCCCTGGGGGACCTCCGGAGGCCTCTGGGGCTCCCTGGGGCCCCTGGAGACTTTCGCAAATGTACGGTCTGGCCGAATCGTAAGAGCGAGGTTCGGCTCGGGGGGGGGTACCCTGATGTTATTCGTGCTTGTTGTTTTTTTGTGTATCCAGGGGGAGGGTACCCTCGAGTGTTCTTCAGTTTGACAGGCGGATGGTCTCATGTTATTGAAGGATGTTCTTCTGTCCAGGGTCTGGCAGGATCTTGGGGGCAGGGTGCCCCGAGTTTTCTCACAGTTTTTGGCCTCCTGGGGCCTTCCCTGGGCCCTGGCGCCGTCCGCAACGAATCGGGATGAAGCTGGTCCTGAGGAAAGCTCCCGGGTCGAGGAGCCGATGCCCTCGGTATCCCTTTCGGGCACGAGCGGAACGGGTACGGAATGACTGGGTACAATGTCCAACAACCGTTCTTGTTCGTTTCGAGCACGACTCGCTGTCCGCGCCGCCGCGGGCGTTGTCCATCCGAGACAGGAGGCCGCCTGCCCAAAAGTGGCCGCCGTCGTTTTTGGACAGCATTGGTTGTTGGGCATTCTACCCATTTTCCAAGTACCCATGTCGGGCGTCCAAGCCCTTGTTTTCACGTCAAAGCACCCCGATCTCCGCATTTGCCTCTCTCCACGTCCTGCTTGGGCGAAGGTGGAGCTGCCGATGCTGTTGCTGGAAGGGCTCGAGGAGGATGGTGGCGACACGGAGTACTTCTGGGGCAAGCTCAAAGGTTCGCCCGAGTCGCTGGAGGACGTTTTGGATAGGTTGCTCTCACCTTGCAGAGAATCTGTCTGTGCACGACCATCGCAGGCTGCTAACAGCAGAGTGCCACAAGTAAGACAACCGCTGTCTCTGATGGCCGTGGAGGCCTCTTTGGGTTCGACTCCTTGTGCAGCAACGCTGGTGGGGTTGCAGGGGTGTCGCCGAGAGTCAGGCCGAGTGTTGCATAGACAAGCGCCAATCCAAGACATCCGACGCCCCGAGACACGGGGATCAGAAGTGCATAGCAAATGACGTACACCAAATGAGAAGTTCTTTCTCGCTCAGGGTTCTTGAAGCTGCACGCAGATTCTTTATCGCAAGCCAGCGCCTGGCGAAGAGGCACTTTCCTATCAGGCAGTGGTATTGCGCCTTCGGCAGTGTCTTGGTCGTGCTCTTTCGCAATTGTCAAACAGGCTGAACATGACTGAATATCGTTACGTACATCTTTTTTTCATGTTTGAATTCGCCAAGCGCATAATCCATCTACCTCTACACAATACTTTACATGAGCTGCACTGGTTGCCGACTGAATTGTACCTGACCGTTTGCCTAACGAATAGTTCAATCGGCAATTCAGTTGAATGATGCTCAGACATGCTTGTGCGACTAGTTTCGAACCCAGTTTCGAAAAATACCCCTGTGCGTCCAACACGCTGGTGTATCAGACACCCTCACATGTAGAAGGTGTCACAACTATGATTATGCTTACTTGTCAGCTGTTCGTCTGCTGCACTCTAGCAGGTCGTTCGCGTTTTGAAGATTCGGTTGGCTCGTTGCACACTCATCAGACGGCGTTGTACTACACACATGTCTGCATCTGCTCACACGTAGGTCTAGGCATGTGCACATCCACCAGTGAATACAAACGCACATCCACACATGAATGCATTTGTGTATACATTTAGATCGACAGATGTATATATACCATGTATGTATATGCATATGTGTATACAAATATGCGCCACGATACGTGTGTGTATGTATACACATACTTGCATACGCATACGTATGGTGACGTATACGATCCTACTATTCACGCTGTATGTGTATGTGTACGAATGTATGTATGCATGTGTCTCCGTTTGTGCACATCTCTCTATATATATATACATACGTTGCCCCGGCAATCGCGGTTCCACATTCGAGCCGGCGCCGAACACACGATTTGAAGACGCTATTCCTTGTGAAGACGCGTCCCCGTGAACACGCTATTCCTTATGAAGACGCTATTCCCGGTGAAGACGCTATTCCCGGTGGAGACGCTATTCCGGGTGAAGACGCTATTCCCTGTGAAGACGCTGTGCCCGGTGAAGACGCTATTCCCGGTGAAGACGCTATTCCCTGTGAAGACGCGTTCTGCGGACACATACAGCACTTTACCGATAAATGCGACATTCCCTGTGAAGACGCTATTCCTGGTGAAGACGCTATTTCGGGTGAAGACGCTATTCTGGGTGAAGACGCTTTTCCGGGTGAAGACGCTATTCCCGGTGAAGACGCTATTCCCGGTGAAGACGCTATTCCGTGTGAAGATGTCATTTCGGGTGAAGAAGACGCTTTTCGGGGTGAAGACGCTATTCGGGGTGAAAACGCTATTCCCGGTGAAGACGCTATTCCTTGTGAAGACGCTATCCCCTGTGACACGCTATTCCTGGTGAAGACGCGATTCCCGGTGAAGACGCTGTTCTTGGTGAAAGCGCTATTCCCTGTGAAGACGCTATTCCCGGTGAAGACGCTATTCTGGGTGAGGACGCTTTTCCGGGTGAAGACGCTATTCCTTATGACGACGCTAAAGACGCTGTTCCCTGTGAAGACGCTATATCTTCTTGTGAAGATGCGATTTCCGGTGAAGGCGCTTTTCCCGGTGAAGACGCTATTCCCAGTGAAAACGCTATTCCCAGTCAAAACGCTATTCCCGGTGAAGACGCTATTCCTGGTGAAGACGCGGTTCCGGGTGAGGATGTTTCTTCTTTTCACCAAGCTCAGTACTCAACGCGCTCTCTTCCCAATTGGAACTTGGAAATGCAATTATATTTGACGTTTTCCATGTCCAACACAACACGTGCCCCATCTGTTGCGCGACGCCCTCTGCTAGGGAAGACCCCTCCCCAATTTGATAAAAACATAATCGTTGGTGCTATACATGCCCCAGATGCTGTGCAACACCCTCTGCTGGGCAAGACCCCTCCCGGAGGACCCCTCCCCAAGTTGATTAGAAAAGAAACTTTGGTGCTAGAGATGCCCCATCTGCTGTGCGGCACCCTCTGCTAGGCAGGAAACCTCCCCAAGTTGATGAAACGAACTTTGATGTTAGACGTGCCCCATTTGCTGTGCGGCACACTCTGCTAGGCAAGACCCCTCCCCCAAGTTGATTACAACAGAATCCTTGGTGCTAGATGTGTTCTGCTAGGCAAGAGCCCTCCCCAAGTTGATAACAACATAATGCTTGGTGCTAGACGTGCCCCATCTGCTGTGTGGCACCCTCTGCTAGGCAGTGGCCCTCCCCAACTTGACTGACAAAAGAATGCTTGGTGTTAGGCGTGCTCCATCTGCTGTGCGGCACCCTCTGCTAGACAAGAGCCCTCCAAAGTTGATCAATATCAAAATCCTTGTTGCTAGGCGTGCCCCATCTGTTGTGCGACACCTTCAGCTAGGCAATATTCCTCGCCAAGTTGATTAAAACAGAATGCTTGGTGCTAGATGTGCCCTTTGCTGTGCGGCGCCCTCTGATAGGCGAGACCTTTTCGCCAAGTTGATTAACACATAAACCTTTGTGCTAGGCGTGCCCCACCTGTTGTGCGGCACCTTCTGCTAGGCAAGACCCCTCCCCAAGTTGTTTACACACGAATCCTTGGTGCTAGGCGTGCCCCATGTGCTGTGCGGCACCTTCTGCTAGGCAAGACCCCTCCCCAAGTTGATTACAGCAGAGTCCTTGGTGCTAGACGTGCCCCATCTGTTGTGTGGCACCCTTTGTTAGGCAAGAGCCCTCCCAAAGTTGATTATTACGAATCCTTGGTGCTAGGCGTGCCCCACCTGCTGTGCGGCACCATCTCCAAGGTGAGCCCTTTTGCTGTGCTGCACCTTCTGCTAGGCAAGACCCCTCCCCAAATTAATTTGAACAGAGTCTCTGGTGCTAGACATGCCCTGTTGCTGTTCGGCACCCTCTGATCGGCACAATCTTTTCCCAACGGTGATAAACTAAATCCTTGGTGCTAGGCGTGCCCCACCTGCTGGGTGGCACCATCTCCAAGATGAGCCCCTTTGTTGTACCGCACCTTCTGCTAGGCAAGACCCCTCCCCAAATTAATTTGAACAGAGTCTCTCGTGCTAGACATGCCCTTTTGCTGTGCGGCAACCTCCGCTAGGCAAGATCCCTCGTAAAGTTGATAAACAAAGAATCCTTGGTGCTAGTCGTGCCCCATCTGCTGTGCGGCACCCTCTGATAGGCAAGAGCCCTTCTCAAGTTGTAAACAAGATAGTCTTTGGTACTAGGCGTTCCCCATCTGTTGTGCGACATCTTCTGCTAGACAAGACCCCTACCCAAGTGGATTAAACAAAGAATCCTTGGTGCTAGATGTGCCCCATCTGCTGTGCGGCAGCATCTCCAAAGTGAGCCCCTTTGCTGTGCCGCACCTTCTGCTAGGCAAGACCCCTCAACAGAGTCTCTGGTGCTAGACATGCCCTTTTGCTGTGCGGCACCCCATGCTAGGCAAGACGTCTCGCCAAGTTGATAAAAAAGAATCCTTGGTGCTAGACATGCCCCTCTGGTGTGCGGCACCCTCTGATAGGAAAGAACCCGCCTTAAGTTGATTCAACATAATTATTGAATCGCTTCGCTCATTCCGCCGGCCCGTGATATGGCATCGCTGGTTTTTGTCTGTGTGTTCGTTGCCCATGTTGCGCTCTTGGGGGCGGGTGTCGTTCGGACGCGTTGCGTGGGGAGTTTTGATGGTGAAGCAGTTCCCTGGGGGTCGTCTCTCGATGGGGCGAAATAGAGTCGTCGTCAAGATGCTTCTTTGGGGGGCCTCTTGGGGTCTGTTGAGAGGCCGTTCGGGGGCGCCTGGGAGACATGTTTGAAGCCTTCTGGGGCTTCTTTTGGGCCTCCTGGGAGTCTCCTGGGGCCTCTTGGCGACATCTTGGGGCCTCTTGGAGGCCTCTTGGGGCCTCTTTGGGACCTCCTGGGCGCCTTCTGGGACGGAGGGCTCCATTTTTGAGTTCTCGGTATCCCTCCTGAGTCCCTCTTGGGCCCGTCTTGGGGCCTCTTGGTCCGTCTTGGGCGGCACTTGGGCCGTCTTGAGGGCTCTCTTGGGTCGTTTCGGCGCCGTCTTGGGAGCTTCGTGGGCCGTCTTGGAGCGGTCTTGGGGGCCTCTTGGGCCGTCTTGGAGCGTCCGGAAGCCGAAAAAGCCAGAACACAAAAAACATAGAAAAAACCAATGAAAATCAACGATTTTGGCCTCTTGGGGCTCTCTTCGGAGGCCTCTTGGAAGGCTCTTGGGGCGTCTTGGAGGCCTCTTGGGCTGTCTTGGGGGCCTTTTGGGCCGTCTTGGGGTCATCTTCGGCGTCTTCGAGCGCTCTTTGGGCGTCTCGGGGGCCTCTTGGGCAGTCTTGGGGGCCTCTTGGGGCACTCTGAGCGCGCTCTGGGGAGCCTGAGAGGCCGCACCCAGAAGGAAAACCATCTCTGAGTAGACTTGGTCGGGCGGCGGTCGGGCGGCGACCGGGCGTTGGTCGGGGTACTTTTCGCCGGGGGACCCCCAGGGGCCGCCCCGCGCGCGCGAACTAGAAATACTGTTAATACTGTTAACCAGTTACCGGAGATCTTAGCACGCCCTGGCCCGTTGGGCCGGCGAATTGGTGCTAGGTGTGCCCCACCTGCTGTGCGGCACCTTCTGCTAGACAAGACCCTTCCCCAAGATGATTAAACAAAAATCCTAAGAGGCCCCAGAACGGCCCCCCAGGAAGCTTCAAAACAGCTTCCAAGAGCCCGACGAGAAACCTCCCAAGAGACCCCCAAACGAACATCCAGGAGGCCTTGGACCCGCAACCCAGCCCCATCGGGCGGCGGCAGGGGCGACGACGACGACGCCGCGCTCGCGCCCGCGCCCGCGCCCGCGCGCACGTCGCGCGCGCCCGTGTCACCGCCCGCCTGCCGCCGGCCACCGCCAGCGGCGCTGGGCCTGCCACTGGGCGCCGCCAGGCGGTGCTGGCCACCGCCGGGCGCATCCCTGCGTGGGGAAGGGGTTGAGAAGAAGGTGAAAGAAACAGAGTGACAATGACATTGTAAGTTCTGCCCTTCCAAATCGTAAGTCGTCCCCAGGAACCTCTTGAAATAATCCAAGACCCCTGCATCTTGAAGCTCGCGGGTCGGATGCAAGACTTCACACTAAGACGACGACGGCGACGGCAACGGCGATGGCGCCGTCGGAGGAGGAGGCGGAGGAGGAGGACGATGCCACCGCCGGCGACGTTGAAGACCGGCGGACGGACGCGCGACGACGAACGGCGGCGACGGCGACGACGACGACGGACGACGACGACGCCGCCGAAAGACGACAACGGACGACGACGACGACGACGACGACGACGACGACGACGACGACGACGACGACGACGACGACGACGACGACGACGACGACGACGACGACGACGACGACGATGATGATGATGATGATGATGATGATGATGATGATGATGATGATGATGATGATGATGATGATGGGGATGATGATGATGAGGATGATGATGAGGATGATGATGATGATGACGACGGCGGCGACCAACGAGCGAGCTACTCCTGGGGGGTCGCGGTTTCCCCAGCGCTGGCTCGCAGGATACGCTTTCGTGGTGGTCGTCGTAGGTGTCACCATCGTCGCACTCGTCGCTGCGATCTTTGTCGTCGTCGTCGTCTTCGCAGGCGTCGTCGTCGTCGTCGCCTGCTGCTGCTGCTGCCGCCGCTGCTCTTCCCCCTCCTGTTCGCAGCCGTCGTTCAACGACGCTCGGCGATCGAGGTCCAGGTGGATTTTCACTGTCTTTCCATTCCCATCCTGGACGCCAGCGCCTCTGGGGGATCACGGCGACCCCGCCGCCGGCTCTTGGGAGGTGCGTTTCTCCTTTGATGCGTTTTCGTCGACCTCGTCGTCGCCGTGCTCGTCGTAGTCGCATTCGTCGTCGTTGTAGCCGTCGCGGTCATCGTCGTCGCAATCGTCGCCGTCGTCGACCGTGGCTCGACGATCGAGGCTCAAAGTGGGCTTTCGTCGATGCTTCGTTCCAATCATGGGCGCTCGGCCTAATTTGGGGGCTCGCGGCCACCCCGGCGCCGGCGCTTAGGGCGCGTGTTTTCTGATGCCCAACCTGGGCGCTTGGTCGCGAGGTTCATTCGACGCCGCGTGAGCCTCCGCCTTGCAACCTGGGCAGACCAGACACTCAGGTCAGGCGGCAGCGCGCTGCCTCTGCTGCCTCGCCGCCGCTGTCCGCTCGCGCCGGATGGTTTGCGCGGGCGGGCGTTTTGCAGCGACCCGTGCCGCCCGGGCCCCTCGCGACGCGCCGGCCCCCGCTTGTTCCCCCCGCGAACACCGCGAACGCCACTGATCGCCCCCCCCGTGAGGGGCGGCAGCTGGCGACTCGATCAAAGACGCCGCCCAGCGGCGTTGCTTCTCTTCTTTTCCGTCGCTTTCTACCCCGTCCCCGTCTTCTGCCCCGCGTCTGTCGCGCTTCGTCCACCGGGGCCACGCGGGCGCGCGTTCCTTCCCGGCCTCGCGTGCGTAGCCCTGCCTCGTGTGAAGGCCGCTGAACGCCTCTTTGGCCGCGTCGAGGCCGCGCTGGAGGCGGTTCTGGCGGGGGGGCGGCGGGCGTTTTGATGCGTCCAATTCTTTCAGGAGGAGGCCGCTTGGCGCCACCTGGGCCGCCATCGCCATGGATGCCGATGCCGACGATGTGGTCGTCGACGACGACGACGTCATTCGTCGTTCGTCGTCGTCGGCCGTTGGTCGTCGATCGTTGGTCGCCGCCGTCATCATCATCATCATCATCATCATCATCATCATCATCATCATCATCATCATCATCATCATCATCATCATCATCATCGTCATCGTCCTCGTCCTCGTCGTCGTCGTCGTCGTCGTCGTCGTCCGTTGCCGTCTTTCGGCGGCGTCGTCGTCGTCCGTCGTCGTCGTCGCCGTCGCCGCCGTTCGTCGTCGCGCGTCCGTCCGCCGGTCTTCAACGTCGTCAACGTCGCCGGCGGCGGCGTCGTCCTCGCCAGTTTTCAACGTCGACGTCGTCGCCGTCGTCGACGTCGTCGCCGCCGTCGTCGTCGTCGCCGCCGTCGGTCCGCCGCCGCCGCCGTCGGGGCGCCGCCGCCGCCGTCGTAGTCGTCGTCGCTGCCGCCGTCGCCGGCGTCGTCGTCGTCGCCGTCGCCGTCGCCGTCAGCGCTGTCGTCGCTGTCGTCGCCGTCGTCGTTGCGGCCGTCGCCGCCGTCGTCGTCGTCGCCGTCGCCGTCGCCGTCGTTGCCGTCGTCGCCGCCGTCGTGTTCGTCGCCGTCGCCGTCGCCGTCGTCGCCGTCGTCGCCGTCGTCGCCGTCGCCGTCGCCGACGTTGCCGTCGTCGCCGCCGTTGTCGTCGTCGTTGGCGCCGTCGGGGTGTTGCTGTGGTTGTGGCCTGGGCGGTGCCGGCGGCAGGAGCTGGCCGCCGCGGCGCTGGAGGGCGGGCTGGCCGCCCAGGCGCAGGTGGACGCCCGCGGGGGGACACTGGAGCTGATCACCACGCGGCGCGGCAAGGCCGCCGGCCGTGCGCCGTCCGTCGTCGCCGTCGTCGTCGGCGTCGGCGTCGTCGTCGGCGTCGTCGTCGTCGTCGTCGTCGTCGTGTCCGCTCTCCGCAGCCGTGGTCCGTCGTCGCCGCCGCGTCGTCGCTGTCGCTGCTGCTTTCGCCGCCGTCACCTCCCTCGCTGTCGTCGTCGTCGTCGTCGTCGCTGCTGCAGTTGATCACCGCTCGGGGCGGCAAGGGAGGAGGGAGGGAGGGAGGGAGGGAGGATTTATGTTCGGGGATCTCGGATTTACGTCCGAGGATTTATCTTCGAGGATCGGGGGAGGTAGGTAGGGAGGGAGGGACAGAGGGTTGTATTCAATATACGGGATGTTCGGTTCGAGTTGTTTGTCTGTCTGTCGCCCTCCTTGAGCCTCCAGGAGGGCTCTGGTCGCCATGGCTGGGTCCGTCGTCTTAACACAAGCGGCTGGTTTTTGAGTGAGTCTAGACGAGATTGAGTCTGAGTATGCACAGTCGGGAGGGCAATCACGAATGACTCTGAGTATGGGCGAGTTTGAGTATGAGAGGGTCTGCGTCTCCGGATCAGAGTATGAGTGGCCGAGATAGATTGCCTCAGTGTGGTGGGGTGCTTGTATGAGCGGGCACGAGCAATCATGGGTATGGTTGCGAGTGCGCTTGTACGAGCGCCCGGATGCGAGTGAGCCTGAGTAGATGTGGCTGCAGCTGATCGAGTCTAAGTTCTAGGCCTGGATATGAAGGTCAGCGTCGAATTCGCGCAAGGGCAGCCTGTTGAAAGGCAGCGGTGTGCGTTGGAGTGATTGACCAGATACGCTAATGTAATGGGTGGATTCGCTAGACGGACAGCGCTGACCTCGACGACCACGAGCAGTGCTGGTTCGTCATTTGCACACCCTGCGCTATGCACCTCCTGGGGGGTGATGGTGGTGGTGCTCGTGAGGGAACGCCGAGGGGGCGTCGGGCCCAGCGCTCTGGAGAGCTGGGGGATGGCGAAGGAGCTGTGCGGAGGAGTCCTGGAACAGAGGACGGCCAGCGCGCATGCTGTATCGCTAGAGCATCAGCGACCTAGCTGAAGGAGGAGGCGACGGATGGGGGAGGGCGCATGTCGCCCACTACGCGTACCTGGGAGCCTTGAGGCGCTACATCCAGGCCACTGCTCCAGCGCGGCCTGCCCCACCAGACTCGCGGCCACAGCCAACAAACGGAGTGGGCAACCGCATGTCGGAGGCCACGGGCGACAGGAGGATCCGAACGCCGAAAGGAATCCTGGAGTTGCTGGGAAGCCAGTTGGCTGCAAAGGGTGCAGCTCGCACTCGAGCGCCCGTCGTGGGTTCCGCTGGGGAAGTGGATGGACGAGGCGAAGGCGGCGGCAGAGGCTGATGCGGCCTCGCACGCAGCCGCGAGGAGCCGGGGCTTCAAGGCTTGGGTCAACGAGTCGGTGGCTGAACGAGGAGGCGTAGCGCGTGCGCGCAGGAGGGGCTCGCGTGGGTGGATCCCAGACGACGTGGTGGAAGGCGCCCCAGCGAGTGGGGCGCAGGCAATCGCGAACCACTGGGCCAAGGAAGTCCGGCGAATTCGAAATGATGGCATCATAATTTTTGGCTGACAGCGGTGAGCCACTGCGGCGTGGCGCTGCCAGGACCGACGGTGGAAGAGGCGCGACGGGCGGCGCGAACCTTCGAAGTCCACGCGGGTGTTGGCAGTGACCGCGCCAACCCCAGGCAACCGGCCCTGCCCAGCGAAAACTTGCTCGAGGTGCTGGTCGCTTGCGCCATGCAGCGCGAGGGCGTCGGAGGGTGGCCCGATTTGATCATGGGCCCTTGGGTGTCATGCCCCCCCTGCCACAAGATGGTCTCAGACCCATTGGCCTTTTGAGCTGGTTCTTTCACCGATGTAAATCGAGTCAGACAGGCTGCTGCTCGGCGATGTGGCGAGAGCACCGACGAGGGCCTGGCAGGCTGCTTGGTGGGAGGCAGAATTCGCGCCGCCCAAGAAGCAGTGTGGCGGCAGGCACTGCGGGCGGATGCGAATGGAGGTCGTGGTGTGGAGGCTACGCTCGACCTATGGATGTCCTGCGTGCTCGCCGACCTGGTCATCATCCATCAGCGATGGGGGTTGCTCATGGTGGCAATTCCGTAGCGGGTCGGGGGCGCATCGCGTTAGACAGCGGGGCATCGGACGGTTTCTTCTCGAACGTGGGCTTCATTGCGGGGCGCTGCCGCCTGGGCCGTCTGCTGAAGTGCGGCCTGCTCCTGGTTGCTGACGAGCACGTGGGCGTGTGGGGTGTGTTTTGGCCGAGGGTCAACCTCGCCGCTGTGGTCGACGAGTGCTGCCTGTTATGCGACGGCCCCGTGGCGCAGGTGGCAGCGTGCCTTTGGGGGGCAACGAAGATGGCCGTCGAAGGCTAGGGGAGTTTCGGGTGCGACATTCGCGAGATAAGAGCGAGATGCCAGCGGGCCTCGCAGCGGTGGCATCGCTGACCGCGAAGTTCATGGGTGGCCTGGCTTTCCTGGAGGCAGGGGGCGTCGAGGATTTTGGCGCGGGCTTCTGCTTGGGCGGGCAGGCGGGCGTCGTGGCGGAAGGGGGGGGCAGGTGCAGCTGCGGCGCAATTGGAAAAAAGGCGCGCGGCGTGCGGAAGCAGGATGCAATGGCGGCAGGGTGCCTCGCGGACGCAGGGTTCGGGACGATCGCGAGGTACAGGGCCAGTGCCACGGCCTGGCCCGCGCGAGTGCTAGGAAAGTGGCGGCGCCATGCGAGCGCAGCTCGCCACGGGCAGGCCGAGGGCATGAGCGCGAGCCTGAGTTACCTGATCGGCAAGTCCCCACGGGGCGCGCGCGCGCCCGAACATCGGCGGCAGCTACCGCCCCGCGTCGCGGAGAGGGCATGGCGGCGAGAAGGGGTGCCGGTAGCCTTGGGCAGCCGCTCGCGGGTGACCTCATCGCGGAGGGCAGCGCGGGGGGGGGCCCGCCGCGTGCGCGGCGACGGCGGGCTGGGCTGTGGCATCCGCGGCGAACGACGAGGAGCGAGTGGCGCTGTTTGGCCCAGTGCCGTGGCCCTTTCCGCAGGTGTCCAGCGCGGCGAAGATCCCTGGGTGCGTGGGGGCGTTCAAGGCGTGCTGCCGCCCGTCGGGGTATGCGCGGGCTGCCGGCTTCTGGTCGACGGCTGCGAGGCGGGCAGGAAGGGGCGCGCCCTGCGGGGGGGCCCCCGCCGGGCGCCGCGGGCGCGGCCTCGGCTGGCCATCGACGACGTTGGCGAGGAGAACATCCAGATCATCGCGGCCGCAGCGTCATCGCGGCCGCAACGCGCGCCGCGATCGCAGATGTGCGATCGGAGAAGATCGAGCGCTGAGACTTTGCCCTGCTGCGGACATGAGACGAAACGGGGGTGCTCGCGACTTTGCCCCGCTGCATCCGCCAGATGGATCATTTCGACAGCGCAGCCGGCAGCAGGACAGGCAGGCGGCGAACACTTTCATATGGATCGGGGCGGCCATGCAAGCCGGCAGCGCGGAGCTCGCGGCAGAGGGCGGGCACGGTGGTGAAGGGCTGGTTGCGGCGCGGTGTTCGACTGGAGGCTGCGTGCTTCGCTGGCGAGCGAGGTGCCGGCTAGAGTCGCGTGGGGGGCGGGCGTGCGGCAGGCGTGATGCGTGGATTCAGTGCGGAGATCAATCAAGGCGGTCGCGCAGGTGTTGCGCGGGGCGGGGCCGCCCTGGCCCCTGCCCCCCGCCCGAGTCTGGGGGCAGCGAGGGCCCCGCCATCTCGGCTGCAGCAGGTTGGCTGCAGGGGCAGCCCTGGCGAGCGACCAGGCAGAGGGCAGCGGGGAAAGAACGGGCGGCGAGCAGCGGAGCGAGGCGAGCGGCAGCAGCGGGGCAGGCGGCGTTGGGCCAGTGGGCCAGGCTGCCGCGCCCTTGCCGCCGCCGCCACCGCTGCCGCCGCGGCGGGCACTTCGGCTTGACCGTTCCCGTCGCCTGCGTGAAGTAGGACATTTTTTTCGGCGTTCAGTGCGGAGTCTGGGCCCTGAGTGCGCGGCTGGCAGGGCTGGCTGAGCCGCGCCCCTACGCTGGGCAAGAGGCGACGGGCAGTTCTGGGGCGCCTCCAGCGGGGGCAGGCGCTGGCTGGATCTGGCAGCGCTGGCGCGCCACACCTTTTGCTGAGGTGCGCTGGATCCTCATCAGCACCTGGGAGGCGCAGTTGATTTATATCTTCCCATCATAATCATGGGCGTAGGCATGCCGACGCTCGGGTTCGCTTTCGGTGATGCCAGTATGGGCCGTCGGTTTGGCCGCGTTGCCGCGATGGTTCAGCTGTCTCCGCCGCTCTACTCAGTGCAGCTGCGGAGCCGCTCGCGATGAAGCTGTAGGTTATGTTGCCTGTCGCTGGCGGGGCGCCTCGTTCCCTTAGGCTCCTCTGCGAGAGGCGGAAAGCGCCCTCCCTTTTCGGGTCTGAGTCGCGGGCGTAAGCCTCATTGACAGTCGAGATCGCTTCCGATCAGCGGGAGGGGCAATTTTCTCTATCGGGAGTTTCGTCCTCCTGGCTGTGGCGTTGGCGGTCGCTGCCTTGCTCGAGTGTGCCGCCGATTTCGCGCGGCTGTGATTTGCCGCGGCTGGTGTGACGGCGATGTCAGTCTGGAATCCGGCATGTCCTCGCAGGTGCCGAATGGGCACGGTCTGACGCTTCGGAAAGCGCTTGGGCTCGGGCGAATTTCAATCTAGGGCTCCAGAGCGTCTTGGATGCGGTGGAGCATCACCATCACCATCATCAGCAACCCATTCACCGCCACCACCGTTATCATCATCATCATCATCATCATCATCATCATCCGGTATCATCACCACCATCATCATTACCACCACCATCAGCATCATCACCATCATCATCATCATCGCCATCCTCAACGTTAGCATCATAATATGCGCCATTATCGTTAGCATCATTATCATCAGCCACATCACCACCACCACCATTATCGCCATCATCATCACCACCATCGTCATCACAGCCTCGACGACGAGCACCACTACCATCATCATCGTTGCCTTTATCACCACCAATTTCATCTCATCGTCATCATCATCACCGTCAGCATCACCACCATCATCATCATCATCATCATCGCACCCATCATCGTCATCATCAGCATCAGCATCATCATCATCATGTTTCTTCGTCATTCTGATTTTTCTCATGCTCATCCTTACCATCCGCACCCTCAGCGTTATCTTCATCCTCCTTTCCCATCATTTTCCCTCGTCGTCGTCGTCCTCCTCCTCCTCGAGTGCGCACCACGACGAGGGCGACGGCAGCCGCTCCCGACCCCCCCCTCGCCGCCGTCCGCGGCGGCCCCTGCCCGCCCGAAAGGCCGAGCTCGAGGAGCGGCTGCCCTCGCTCGGCGGCAGGGGCTTTTCTTCTGGGGATATGAGGCGGGCACCGGACGGCGAGCGGGAATCCGGGAAAAGTCCGGGGGCGGACTCATGAGAGGAGCCTGGCCGGATTGCGGCGGCGCGGGCGGCGGCGCTGGCGACAACGGACGAGGGTCGATCGATGATTGTCGACGCTCTCAAGGCCTTCCAGCAGGAGGCGCGGCGGCGATGGCGGCGGCAGCGATGTCTCCGTTTCTGAGGGCTTTGGGCGTCCCTGGGGGCTCCTCGCGGCCCGGGCCAAGCGCGCCTCGGAAGACCGGGAGAAGTCTGGCGGCAGACTCCGAGAGGAACCCGGCCGGGTTGCGGCGGCGGTGGCGACGACGGCGGCGGCGGCGACACCGATCACGGGCGGCGCGCCCAGGGGGGGAAGGCAGATTGGGGCGGGCCTGCTCAGAAGGCTCAGAAATCAGAAGCCCTCCGGCCTTTGAGAAGATGTTCTCAGTCAGCGGCACAGTAACGGGCATTCACTAGCGAGCATTTTGGAGATTTGCAGAAAATTGCCACTTTAGAGCCTCGTTCTGGCATTGCAGCGTTGCCCACATCGGGAAGGGTTGGGTTCGCCGGGTCAGCGGAGTCCCCGTTGGAGGGGTGCTGATTCAGAAGACGGGAGGGCTTTCGAGAAGCCCCGACGCCTTCTGAGAAGGTCTGCCCTCCCTCACTCCCCCCCCTCGGCGCGCCGCCGATCTCTGTTAGGCCTCGGGGGAGAGCCTCGTCGCCGCGGCCGGGTCCTCCTTGAGAAGATCTGGCCAGGGCGCGCCGCAGCAAAAGGTCCTTGGGGGCGGCGGCTGCGGCGAGGTTCGCGTAGACTTTTTATGGGAGGGTCAAACTCAGGGAGGGGCAACGTTAGCTGGCAGGTTGCATGGCCACGAGCCTCGAGATCTCTCGAGTCAGTCTTGTGCCGAGCGCCTGCTGGCAAGTTGCATAGCCGCGAGCATCGAGATCTCTCGAGTCAGTCTTGTGCCGAGCGCCCAGGATCACCATCATCATGATCATCGTCATAATCATCATCAGAATTACCTTCCCTGGGAAAATCCATCATTATCCCCACCAGACCCCCGAATTTCATTGTTCCCTGATGATTATTATCGCCCGCTGTGGGTTATGCATGCCCTTTGTGGCCCCCGCTCGTTCGCGCCTTTTGCGACCGCATATACGTATGCCCTTCGTGGCCCCCTCGCTGTCCCACGTTGCCCTGTTGCTATCCTCAGTGACCCCGTCGTCGCTTTCTGTGGGCCCGCATTATCTGCCCTCTGTGGCCCCCGCTCGTTCCCGCCCTTCGTGCCCCTATACGCATGCCCTTCGTGGCCCCGCTGTCGCTTTTCGCGGCCCATTCGTGCCCTTCGTGGCCCCGCTGTCGCTTTCGATCTCGATCTCGCTTTTTCTCGTCGTCGTCGTCGTCCTCGTCGTCGCCGTCGTGGTCGGTCCCCTGTCCGTCCCTCTTGGGGCCGGGTTGCCGCCGATCAGCACTGCCGCTGGCCAAGCCGACGGTCCGCGGCCGCCCCGCCGCTTGCCAGGGCCCGGCCTGCAGGAAAGAGAGATATATCCCACCAAAGGGGTACGATCGAAAACGACGAGTGCGGGTATCGTGGGTTTTTGGAAATACGCATTGAATGACACTCGGGCAGATAAGAGCGAACAGTCATAACATGACTGTTGTTGTTGTTGGCGATGGTTGTTGATGTGGTTGTTGCTGCTGCTATTGCTGTTGCCGTTGCTGTTGTTACTTGTGTTGTCGCTGTCGTCGGCTACGATGACGACGGTGGGGAGAAGCAGGATGATGTTGATGATGATGATGATTATGATGATGATGTCGATGATCATGGTGACGATGCTGCTGATGCTGCTGATGGTCCTGATGATGATGCTCATGCTGGTGATGCTGCTGATGATGATGCTAATGACGGTGATGAGGCTGATGAACCTGATGATGATACTGATTGTGGTGGTGGTGGTGGTGATGGTGATGATGATGTCAGTGATGTTGATGCTGGTGATAATGACGATGATGCTGCTGGCGATGATGCTGGTGTTGATGATACTGATGCTGTGGATGTTGATTCTGATGATGCTGCTGATGATGTTGACGATGATGCTGATGATGCTGATTTTGATGATGATGCCGATTTTGATGATGATGCCGATGGCGATTATGCTGTTGATGATGCTGATGCTGATGCTGCTCATGATGATGCTGCTGATGTTGATGGCGATGAAGATGCTGCAGATGATGTTGATGATTATGGTGGTGGTGGTGGTGGTGGTTATGATGATGCTGCTGATGACGATGTTGATGATGATGCTGATGCTGATGCTGATGCTGATGATGATAATGATGATGCTGCTGCTGATACTGATGATGATGATGATGCTGATGGTGATGATGAGTGATGAATGATCGTCAGTAGTAGTAGTAGTAGTAGTAGCAGTAGTAGCAGTAGTAGCAGTAGTAGCAGTAGTAGTAGTAGTAGTAGTAGTAGTAGTAGTAGTGGTCGTAGTCGTAGTAGTAGTAGTAGTAGTAGTAGTAGTAGTAGTCGTAGTAGTAGTAGTAGTAGTAGTAGTAGTAGTAGTACGAGTAGTAGTAGTCGTCGTAATCGCAGTCGTAGTCGTAGTCGTAGAAGTAGTAATAGTAGTAGTAGTAGTAGTAGTAGTAGTAGTCGTAGTAGTAGTAGTAGTAGTTAGTAGTAGTAGTAGTAGTAGTAGTAGTAGTAGTAGTGGTCGTAGTCCTAGTAGTAGTAGTAGTAGTAGTAGTAGTAATAGTAGTAGTAGTAGTAGTAGTAGTCGTCGTCGTCGTAATCGTAGTCGTAGTCGTAGTCGTAGTAGAAGTAGTAGTAGTAGTAGTAGTAGTAGTAGTAGTAGTAGTAGAAGTAGTAGTAGTAGTAGTAGTAGTAGTCGTAGCTGAAGTAGTCGTAGCAGTAGTAGTAGTAGGAGTAGTAGTAGTAGTAGTAGTTAGAGTAGTTAGTAAAGTAGTAAGTAGTAGTAGTAGTGGTGGTGGTGGTGGTGGTGGTGTTGGTGGTGGTGGTGGTGGTACTCGTAGTAGTCGTAGTCGTAGTCGTAGTCGTAGTAGTCGTAGTAGTAGTCGTAGTAGTAGTAGTAGTAGTAGTAGTAGTCGTAGTAGTAGTAGTAGTAGTAGTAGTCGTAGTAGTAGTAAGTAGTAGTAGTAATAGTAGTATTAGTAGTAGTAGTAGTAGTAGTTGTAGTAGTAGTAGTAGTAGTAGTAGTAGTAGTAGTAGCAGCAGCAGCAGTAGTAGTAGTCGTAGTAGTAGCAGTAGTAGTAGTAGTAGTAGTAGTAGTCGTAGTAGTAGTCGTAGTAGTAGTAGTAGTAGTAGTAGTAGTAGTAGTAGTAGTCCCCCCAAGGCTCTGGGGAGCCTGTGGGAGGGGGGGGGGCTACTGCTGCCCTCAAACCGCGGGTGGCAGTCACCCTTCCTTGTCTCGCGCCCTCACTGTTACGAACACTCTTCCTCGCCCTGAAGGGACGTCCTGGGATGGCGGCGGCCGCTGGCGGCGCTGCGGACGCAGGCGCGGGGATTCGAGTGGCTGGGAGTAACGCCGCTGCGGCTCGAGGCGAAGGCGGAGTGCTGCCGCCCCCGCGTCGGCAGGCGCGAACGCAGCCGACATCCCAGTGGATGGCAACATCGGCGTCCACATGCGTGACAGCGAGGGCCAGCCAGCACAGAGGCGGCGCCGCATGACGGGTGGACGCATCACCCGCTGGTGCGTCAGCGCCCAGGCGGCCCGCGGCACGAAGGCTCACTGCGCGCGCTGCATGTGAGGTTCCGAGGCGGGCGAGCGGCGCGTGGCAGGCGTCGCGACACCACCTGCGGGGTCCCAGGCGCACGCGGGCAGGAAGTGGTTCCACGTGGCTTGCGTCGATGGCCCCCTACCACCAGCTACGGCGATGGCGGGCTTCACTCAGCTCCCTGAGGGCGACAGGGATCGCCTCGCGGCAGCCCTGGAGGCCCGAGGGGGCCCCATCTTGCCCCTGCTGGAAACAGTTGAAGGCCAGGCCCCCGCCCCTCCCACCCAGGGAGATGGCGCGGCAGGGAGCGCTGGGGCAGCCCCGAGGCCCCCTGCCGCCGCCGCGCCAGGGGCGCACGGCCCAGGCGCGCGGGGGACTCCCCTGGGGGCGGCCGAGGCAGCGGTGCCGACCGCGGCGGACATCCTACGACCGCCACTCGATGTTCCTGCGGAAGCAGGCGATGATGGCGGACTCGAGACAGGCGCCCACGACGACTACCTGGACGACCAGGTGACGAGCGAGGACGCGTACCACGAGTTGGGCTTCGTCAACCTGGACTGGTGGGACGCCACCGGGTGGGGCCCCGCCCTGCTCCAAGGGGCGCCCACCACAGCCATGATCCCCGACAGCATGGCGGCAGCCGTCAGCCACGTGAAGGTGCGGCTGCGTTTGGCAATTGAGCAGGCCCGCCAGGGCAACGATGCTCAGTCGTCGAGTACGTTGACGAGGCTGCGGAAGGTGTTCCTTTCGCTGGGCGGACTGCTGTTCAGCGAAAATGCGACCCCGACCCCGACGACACGGCGTGAGCGCCTCCAGGAGCGCCTGCGGTGGATCCAGGACGGCCAGTGGGATGTCGCCTGGCTTTCCATGGAGGACCAGACGCGCACCACGGTTACCACGAAGGGCCGCGAGGATCGCGTCGCAGCCCGTGTATGCCGTGCCACCGAGCTCGCACGAGCGGGAGAGATGTCTCGGGCGGCAGCGGCAGCGTGGCCCCAGGGGGACATGGCGGAAGCAGCGGCGGTGGTGAGGAAGTTCAGCACCACCCAGCAGCCCGAGGCGCCTCGCCCAGGCGAGTGGGGCCCTCTCCCTGGCACTGGGGCCGCCCCGCGTGGGCCAGGGAGAGGGTCCGCAGGGGCGGGGGCCGGCGTGGCGATGCCGCCAGCCGCAGCCCCCCGCGAGCTCGGCGGCGCAGCAGAACTCCACCGCCGCGTGGCCGACCACCTCAGACGCCAGTTTGGCCGTTTCCCCCGCCGTGGAGGGG